GCGGGTCTGACCGCCATGGCTTCGGATCTGGAATCGCAGCAAACGGAGGCCCAGGTCCTGCACTCTGCGACCACCACGTGTGTGTTTCTGCACCGGGTATGCATTTAACGCGCAGGTGCTCCACAGAGGGGAGACTTCTGTTCCCCTTCAATCCTCTTCCTCACTCGCAACCGCCTCCCACTTCCACCCACGAAACAGACATTTTGAATGAAACAACACTAACTAACCATCATTCCAGGCCTTGCGGCTCAACCATGTGTTTAAAACACGGAAAATAGTTTTTAGGATTAGAATACATTTTGCAAAGCAATTCTGAAGCCTTGAGTAGGGGAGCATTCTCCAAAAGAACTGAATTCCCAAAGAAAACCATAAAGGACCTGGATGGATCCGGGGCCTGGCTTATAGACGGAGCTCTATTCTCGGGTCCCCGGAGCTCGGGGGAGGGGGGGTCCTGGGTGCTGCGGGGTGCTGGGTGCCCCACCAGTCCAAGCCACTTCTGTTTGCTCTAATATCGTAGGAAGTGAGTTTCTGCTGCAAGATACCAATTTTGATTTTAAATAACTAGTTTAGCAGGTGAAAATACACTTAAGGTATCATTTATATTGCAGTTTTCCAATCAAAATAATCTAGCATGTCAACTAATATTAGCAAACACTGCAGAGAAAACAACTAAAGAAAATCCATTGCAAAGCAACTATTGGTTTGGCTTCTGTCAATTTGTTTTCAAGAACAGCAGAGGTTTTAAAAAAGGGGGTGTGCCCCTTCTTTGACATCCGCCCTGTATCCAGTGACCCCCATTCCCCCTTCCCCTCCGGCCGGCCTAACACCGAGAAGGTTTAGGAGTTGATGCTACGTGTCTGCCAAGGCTAGGTCAGAAAAAAGATACAGCTGCCACGTGACTGTTTCTATTTCAAACTTCTCTTCTGGGGAGGCCAGCGAGCATGTCCAAGGACAAGTGGACAAGTACCAACTGACCAGCCACCTACGTGAGCCGCTCTGGTGCCAACTTCCAGCCCTGGCCGGGCCTTCAAGACGACTGCGGCCCCGGCTGACCTCTGGCCGTAACCTTCGAGAGACTCGGAGCCAGAGCCACCCAGCCAAGCTGCTCCTGGAGTCCTGACCCACGGAAGTGATGAAAGATCAACCAAAGTTCACGGCTGGTTTAGCCACTGAATTTTGGAGTAATCCGTTATGCAACAAGCAATCACTGGAAAAAGAAGGAACTCGACCAATATTGTGTCTTTTCTCATTGCTTCACAACATCTAGGGTCTAGCCAAGCTGGGTGATTGACCCTTTTCCTATCGCTTCCTCCGTCTGACGTCTCCCTTCTCCACCTTCTCCACCGACACGTGACCCCTCATCGCACAGGACTCTCACCTCCTCCTTCGCACGTAGCCTTTGAACGAGGATGTGCCCGTCTCATCTCCCCGACCGGACTGACAAACCAGGAGGCGGCGTCGCTAAAGAAAGTCTCCATCAGCTTAGAACCCACGCAAAACACACCCACGCACAGCAGGCAAGCAGTTCACACACTGAACAACGGAAGAAAACACCAGTCAGGGCAACGTGGCAGAAAGGGCAACTGCCCGGTGAGCCGAGTTGTCCGAAGGCAGGCCTCACTTCTCAGAAGAAATCAATCCCCACGGCCAAAAATGAGTGTCCCTGTGACGCCTGAAGCCCCGGCCCGTCACGCAGTAAAACGCCCTTCGGCATCTTTCTGAGGACTGATGGAAAACCCGCAAGCAGAAATGCGAGAGGGTTCACGAAGAGAGGCCAGCGTACGTCACGGGGACGGTGTCGTATCGAAGTAACAGTACGTGGAGATAGGAATCTCAGAGCCATGCGTGGGTCTGTCCGCATGGCGTGCATTTTGCTAAGAAAATGTCAAAGACTTTCTTAAATGTGAGCAGCCGGTATTGACATCTTATGAGGTCTATGGGACTGTTACACGGGAACCCAAAACATGCAGACGAACCTCTCTGAGTACCCCGCGGGAAAATCCTTCCGTGTTTGGGGGTAACCGCAGAAACTATCTACATGTTACGGGGGAACAGCGACTCACTCCAGGCGGAGAGGAGCGGCCGGCCCAGGCTCTGGCCAAGGAGGACTGTCGGCCTCTCAAGCATCCATGCTCCCATTCACGCTTCCGAAACATGACCGCATTTCTGTCTGCATTCCTGAGTCATCCCCCTGCTGAGCTGCAAAGGGCAGTGTGCCCCATGCCACGCTCCGAAATTCAGCTCTGGCAGTGACAGAAACAGAGAGAAGCCGAACCCTGAATGACCTGCGGGGTGGCTGAGTCAAACTAGTTAATTCTACGGCTTACTATACCTCTAACCTTTCCCCTTACATCAGCCTGTACTGTTTAAGCCACGAGGCACTGACTGGGTCTTCTTCTCCGACAACCAGAGTCATCCTCACCGCAATGCTGGGAAAGTCTACTCCGACACGCACAGCCTGGGTGTGCTCCAACCACCCTTACCGGCCAGAGCAACATAACAACAAAGAAACAAGCAAACAATTGCCTGGTACGTTCCAGAAACACTTAATTCTCTCTTTTATGTTTCGCGTGGACATTGCAATGCACATCGTGTATACTGATGGCCTTGAGAAGTTCCTGAAATAAAAAAAATTATTTAACATTTTAAACCAGACATCAAAGCTGATTTCACCTTCGTATCATCTATTACACAAAACCAAGTAACATCCTGTGTTCTGAAACACGGACTCTGAGCCACAGTTTTCATCTGGAAAACGACGGGGCCAATTCTCAAGGTGATCGATGGAAGAAGCCTGTGGAGTTCTTAATTCCATGCTAATTTCTCCTGCAGCCCAGAGCCCTCTGGGATATCTCCCCACGCCCTCAGCCACTGCCCGTGCAAGTCAGCAGGACATCAACCTGAAGAAGAGAGATTACGCGAAGGGAACCAGTCCTCCGACCTCAAATGCACAGCAGCTGCAAACGCAGCCGCTCCTCGAATCACTCACAAGTCCTGGGCCGCGCCTGCAGCTCCAACGCACACATTCGCTTGTCTCGGTGTCGGGAGCGTGGGGCTGAGGAGCCTGGGACCCAAACCAGAAGGTCTGGCTTCAAACCCTGACTCGACCACTGACACAGTGTAACCTTGGCGAGTGTGTCTCCCCAGGCCTCACAGGCTCATGAGAAAATGTGACTTCTAACAGACACGACTTAAAAGTCTACTATAAAAAGAGAAATTAAAGAATGATAATCGCCCCGGCCGGTTTGGCTCAGCGGTTAGAGCGTTGGCCTGTGGTCCAGAGAGACCCGGGTTCGGTTCCCGCTGAGGGCGCGTACCTCGGTTGCAGTTTGTCCCCAGCCCTGATTGGGTCGTGTGGGTGGCAGCCACTCGATGTGTCCCTTTCACATCCATGTTTCTCTCTTTCTCTCTCCCTCCCACTCTATCTGAACAAAATATCAAAAGAAAAAAGAATGATCATCGACCTAAACCAGTTAGCACAGTGCCTGGCACATAAGAAGTTGTGCAATAATGTTCACTGCTGTGGTTGGAATAATTAATATCAAACTGGGAAATAATTCATACACAGAGATACATGACAAGGTTTGTCTTCCAAAAGGCATCTCAGAGCTTTGAGAGAAAAGAAACAGGAATTAAAGTAATAATAACTCTCAATATAAAGTAAATGGATCCCACTTAAAGCTGAACACTAATTCTCAATTACTTGCTCTGGGAAGAACAAAGAGCAGAGTATAATAAAAATAAGTAGCACTACAACAACTCATAAACCAAACAGCCATGGCTCCTCTTCAACATGTCTTAGAACAAAATTCCCAGAACATCAATAGACCCACATGCAAATTAAGTTCAAAGCATATTCCGTAATGAAACCTATAATCTCTCTAACGGTCTGCATTTCGGAGCATTAGTACCACCAACCAAGCACGCACATTCAAGCCTGTATTTTCCGGTTTGCAATGGACTTGTCACAGAAATCAGTGCACTAACTGTAAATAATTCCTCAACTGGACTCCAGTCTAGAGCTAAGCGGGACTCGGGCCCTCGACGGCAGCATCTGTTTCCTCAGGCAGACATGCTGCCGCTGCAAAGCGACCACACACCCTTCGAAGAGGAAGCAGAGTGGGGAAGAGCCATCTGACGTGCAGTCACTCTGAGGGTTTACCCTGTTGGACAACCAAAGGGGTAGAGTGGTCTCCGAAGCTATGGACTGTGATTTAGAATCTTGCGAATCCCGTTGCCATTGAGTAATTCAGCCAGCAGAATAGGGTTCTTATTTCCCACCATGACCTCGCTCCTCCCCAACCTCGGGCAGCCCCAGGAAGGATCCTGAGGCCCCTCCCAGTGGCTCCGGCTCCGCCCCCTGGCATTCTGGCAGCAAAGTCATTCACCACCATGAGCTGCACCCCTGGAGCTGCTGGTGCACAAGGTTTAGAGGATGACCCCCAAAAGATGGACACATTTGCTCAGCCCAGCTCAGGCCTAGATTTTCTAGAACATGCCCAAGATGGCTACTCCACATTCACTTAGCAGCACGGATTTCAATCAAGCAAATATGGGAACAAAATCACTGCCGACAGCAATCTTGGAAGCAAAGTCTGTGTGCAGGTGAAGCCCACCAGTCGCGGCAGTGAAAGCGTTAAGCTTCTGTTTGCCACAGGGTTACCTTGGGGGCTCCTTCACTTCCTCAATTTCTCCACCAACTAGCTTAGGAAATCAAAGGGCTGGAAGTGACTGGCCCATAGCTAACCCCTCCCCCACACTTTCTACAAGGCAGACACTCTCCCAAGCATCTCCTCATTCCCCAGCAACCCTCTAAGAGGGTTATCATCTCCACCGTCCAGCCAAGGGAACGAGACCCACGGCAGTCTTGCTGGTGGCCACACCACTGGAGGGGGCAAGCAGGACCGAGTCATACGCAACTAGCTGTTCTGAGTTCAACGGTGCTTCCCAAAGACTCACATTGAAGTCATAGCCCCCAGTCTCTAGGAATGTCACCTTACTTGGAAAGAGGGTCCTTGGATGCAATCAAATTAAGATGAGGTCACTGTAGACGCTGATCCAACAGGACTGGTGTCCCGAGAAGACGACAAAGATGCTCTGCAAAGACAGAAACACAGAAAGCAGACGGCCCTGTGAATGTGGAGGCAGAAAGGGAGACCTGCTGCCTAAGCCAAGGAAAGCCGGAGCTCCCGGAGGCTGGAAGAACCAAGGAAGGAACCTCCCCCAGCGACTTCCAGGGGGCCAGGCCCGCCAACACCTTGGCCTTGCACTCGGAGCGTTTGGACCGTGAGGGAACAGATGTCTGTTGCTTTAAGCCACCCAGCCTGCTGCAGTGTGTTAGGCAGCCCCAGCCACCTACCACTCGGTCACCCACCACCCATTCCCCTCCCACACTTCCCCCCCCCCTGCCTACTGGAGGAGGAAATGAAGACTCCCATTCCGCGTGCTTTTCCCAGACTTGAGACTGTTACAGGTAGAAGGTGCAACACAATCAAGGTTGGGATAAGAAGAGACTCCCCCTAAGTATAGAGCAGCACAAGTCACCCCTGATCCCCCAACTTCCAGCCCTCTGGCAGCCGGCAGCCTGCTGTCCTTCAAGCAGTTAGCAACTTGAAACACACTGTCCTTTCAAAGCGCAGGATCCGATGACCTGGCCCAGTTCACTGCAATTAAGTAGGTAAGGCCCATGGGAGCTTCCAGGACTGGAACTGGATCTGCCCAGGCCCCAGTTCCTTGTCTGAGCAAGGCTGCAAGCAGAGAGAGAGAGAGAGAGAGAGAGAGAGAGAGAGAGAGAGAGAGAGAGAGAGAGACGGCTTCGGTAGTTCAGTAGCTGGGCCTGCACCAAGGATGCTTAGAGTCAGCTCAAGAAGCCAGGTCAGCAACTGCAGACGAGACTTAGAAGCAGCAGCAGAGGCAGGGCCCAGTGTGGAGAGGGTGCATCGAGGATCACACACGATTCCCAGGTACAGACAGGTAGTGGGAATCAGGGAAGTCGTCATGCAGGTCACGCAGGAAGCCTGTCAGTCCCGGCTGGGGGTGGGAGGCTAACTCAGCTTCTGCAGTAGAGGGTCGGAAGGCAGGAAGGAGGGGCTGGTATGAACCAAGGGCCCAGCTCTCCGTGGGTTGCTCTGGCAAGAATTCTGGCACTAGGAACAAGACAGAAGCCAGGTACAGAACATCAGTGGGCCAGGGCAGAAGAGCATCCAGGGTGATCTGATTAGGAGGTGTAGTCCCCAGGGTCCTAGAGACCCCTCCAGCAACCCCAGCCCCCAGCCCCAAGAGCAGGCCCTCCAGGGGGGGGTAGGGGGGGGAGCATAGGAATAGCTGTTCAGGAAGCAGGCAGGTTCCGACCCAAAGTGCCTCCCTAGACACCTTGGCCGACACGCAGACAGCATTTTTGGTAGAACCAGACTAGGGCCCCACGCTCTGTCCTAGAACGTCCATGACAAAACAACGCAAGCCAATGCTGGTCAAATACTTGTCATTAAAAATGCAAGCAGGAGGCTGTGCAAACTGAAAAGAATGCAGTGTTTTTACCTTGGACACGGAGCCCGGTGAAGAGGGGAATTATTTCGGGGGACGCGAGGAAGGAGAGGGAGATTTCTGTGACTACACTATCTGGGAACTTCAGTAAATTCAAAGTTTTTGATGGTTACGTGGTTTTATCTTTTTTCATTAAAAATGTAATTTTTTGCCCTGGCCAGTTTGGCTCAGCGGTTAGAGCATTGGCCTGCGGTCCCGAGAGACCCGGGTTCGGTTCCCGCTAAGGGCACGTACCTCGGTTGCAGTTTGTCCCCGGCCCTGGTTGGTTGTATGGGTGGCAGCCACTCGATGTGTCCCTTTCACATCGATGTTTCTCTCTCTCTTTCTCTCTCTCTCTCTCTCTCTGTTCCTCTCCCTTCCTCCCACTCTACCTGAACAAAAAAATGGAAAAACGTCCTCGGGTGAGGACGATAAAAAAAAAAAATGTAATTTTTTCCCCTCTTTTGTTTTCTCGGGGTTGTTTGAAAACAAAAAGTGATGTGACAGCACTTTCCAAACAGTAAAATATTAGGCAAAGTTAAGGCTGCAATCCTGCTATTGACAAGAAAGGAACAGTCACATCATTATTAAATAATTACATGCAATCTGCGAGGTGCAGAAAACTAGAAAGGTAAGAATAAAGTTTGGCCATATGTCTGTGATTCGGAGATGGCCAATGCTAACGCTTTCATAATTTTGGTGTCTTTTGTATTTACTCATTTTTTTACATAATTCAGATCACACTGTTTCATATCATTCTGTTTTCACTTATTAGATGCATTTTTCTTTGTATAAAACATTTATAATTACTGCACTAGTCCATTGTATGGAGCCATAAGTTAAGCATCTACCTGTCATCGAAGAATTAGAACGTGTTCATTTTTTCACATATGACTAATGCAGACTGAACGTCTTCAAACATAAATCTTTGCTCGTTGTGAATGACCATAAAAGACAAACCACATGTACTAGGCTCTTACTAAGTTCCAGGCACTACGCTAAGCTCCTCGGATGCATCATCCCAGCTAATCTTGACACCAGCACTGGGCTATGTGCTCTGTTCATGTTGACTTTATAACGGAGGGGATTTTCAGTTTGGAAAAGTAAAGAAACATGGAGTGAGTGATGGCTGGGTTGCCAGTCCTCTGAATCTGCCCCACACCCCTGTCCTCAGCCCCTCCCAGCACAGAGTCCAACAGGGAAGGTCCCGGGTCAAGGCTCAGGACCGGCCTCAGGCTCTCTGCGCAGGGCCGAATGGCTCCCAGGAAGGCCGGAGCAGCTTCCTCTGCAGGGTGGGGTGAGGGCCGGCCAGGCACACACTGCTGCCGTGACGTGCTCTGTGGGGCACGCACAAGAACCGTGGGATTAGGCTGCAAGTAGGGAAACCACCTTTTCTACTCGGATGTCAGGTGTGGAGGAACGTTTACTGTGATGCTAAGTTAGTTTCACCTGCAGGTCTTCTCCCTGGACAAGCCCTTCCAGTCCTCATTTTAAGTACAGTCAACATTCATTCGTGTCCCTGATTTCGTGTTACTTTCTAAAGTGAGCCCCGAACTGGCATAAGCTTCAGGCTTCACAAAGCCTGGCTCTGTGGCTGTCCAGGAAGAACGTAGAGGACTGTGACAGGGTCAATAAACCAGCCGCACTTCCCACAGGCACATGGCCAAACTACATGCTCCAGGCTCCTTGCCCCTGGCCACACCTGTGACTGTGCCCCGGCTGAAGGAAGACAGGTAGGGGAGGCTGCAAATGTGCCGGCTCCATGCTGATGCCCAGAGCGACCACACGGACCCACACTGGACTTTGAAGCCATCGACTACACTCCTATTCTGCTGTCATCGAGATTTCAGAGCCATCGCAACAGCATTTAGTATCAACTGAAGTGGCTAGCCAAGGTTTCCAAGAATCCGCCACACCGCCTGCTGGCTCTTTTTGCATGCCTGCGTCACAATAACCTTGCTCGCTTGGCAACTTTCACTCCTAGTTCCAACCAAGCAAGCAAAGCTGACCTGCCCCAAGTGTGCACACTGTGTGACGGCCTTAGATTCCACTGCTGGAAAATCGTTCTGCCACGTGGTCTGCAAAAGCCAAGTCCGGAGCCAGAAGCCACGTCTTCCTGCTCGGTGCACGGGCAGAGCAGTGGAGGCTCAACTCCCTTAATGAGGAGACAGATGGGGTGGCAGTCACACTTTAGGATCCTGACTTTTCTGCAAAGCGGCACAGATGTTCCCGTCTCTGACAACAGCCAGAGCTTCTTGCCGACACATCAGCCTATTTCAAGAGGAAAACAGACACAAATACCAAATGGATGCCAAGTTCGCTCTCAAAATCGCTTTCCCCCACCCTATTTTCTCCTCTTAGCCAACTGAACTCTCTTTCTACCTTGCCCACCACATATTTTCGGATCTCCCTGCACACACATTTTGCAATGATCAGCCAGGAGGGCTCGAGATGGCTCACACCCTTCAGAAACCTCCTCTGCTCTGTCTCCAGCCACCTCCTTAAGCATCTTATCAAAATCTCGCAGCTCGTTGGGGCCACGGTGCTCTTTGGCCAGAGGCTATAAATCTTTTCCTGTGAGGACAGGCCTCCAGATTTCACAGCTAAGCAGACTCAGGGCTGGAGATTCTCTACTATAATCACATCTCCCAGCTCCAGGCTGTTCTGAAACTATCAGCTCAAGTCAATCCTGGCTTCTGCGGGGTTGACGGTGCAGCAGATAGATGGAGCTGCAAACGGAAAAGGATGGAGAAGGAAAAGCGTTATCAAAATGGGGTGCTGCGGTGGACTTTTCTGAATGCGGGGGCGGAAGAGCCACGCCTCGTAAACAGCAGCAGGAGGCCTGCTGGAGGGATTAACCCCTTCCACGGGTCCAAACTGGCCCGAGCTAGGAATTGACCAGCACACTGGGCTTTAACCACAAGGAGCTCGAGTCCTGATGGTTAATATGTGGCGGGCAGTAGTCTTTCTGATCTAAGTGAGACCGGGGAGCCAACCTGTGCTCCCAAAATGCAGACAAGAGGTGCCTCTGTCCCCAACACCAATGGTGACCTTTAAAGAATGTGGTTCACAGTTCAATTGCATTGTGCAGCCGAGATGTTTGTGGCCCAGTCTGACTGGTTAGCTCTAATGGCTAGAACATCTGGCTAATAAGATTAAAGTCAATCCCGGTATTAGAAAATTAGCTTTCCTCTGTTTCAACACCACAGACTTATCCCAACTTGAAACAATTTCACAAAGCCAGCAAACAATGTGTATTGATTACCAATTACACACATAGCATCCAGAGATAAATTCAATGAGGAAATGCATTTGCATTATTTATCCACCTTTTCCAGCCCCCCAAAGAGTCATTTCTGTGAGTTTAGACAAAGAATTTACATGTCTCTAGCCAAGCGGTTGGATATTATTGACTCAATTCATCAGACTTCCCCCCAAATATCTGTGCTTCCTTTTAGCCCAAGGGACCTGGCACAAGTCTCAACACATCAATAGCACTAACAGAGAAGCTGGTGGTTTTCCTGCCTCTTATGAGGATTTGAGCTGTTGGCAGAAATATGCAACACTGTTAGGGAGTTCTGTTAGTCGTGAAGCAAGTGACTTCCATGATTTTAAATGTTTTGGTAGATTTTAAAATGCTTCAACAGCCCTGGCCGGTATGGCTTAGCGGTTAGAGCGTCGGCCTGCGGTCCAGAGAGACCCGGGTTCGGTTCCCGCTAAGGGCATGTGCTTCGGTTGGGTCGTGCGGGTGGCAGCCAATCAATTGTGTCCCTTTCACATCGATGTTTCTTTCTCTCTCTCTCTCTCTCTCTCTCTTCCTCTCTCTCCCTCCGGCTCTATCTGAACAAAAAACGAAAAAATGTCCTCGGGTGAGAATAAAAAAAAAAACATATAAAATGCTTCAACAGGTGCACAGACAGGCAGAGGAAGCAGGCCATACCTGCCTTCCTATTTAGGAAAAGGGTTTTAGAATTAGTTATCTCACTGTAAAAACCCCAACATGCATTCTACTGATGACGCGTTATAAGATTTCTTGGGAACCAAGAAAACAATCAGACAAGCATGAGGCCCCACGACCTCAAGTTCCTGGTCTGCAAGTTTCCCTGAAAGGCAGATCTCAAAGCTGTTCTCCAGGTGTGGTGGACAAGTACCACTCGGACTTTCCTATTTATGGCCCCTAACAAAAGCCATCATTTACTGGGCACCCCCCCCCCATGTGCCAGGCCTGGTAAGCACTGCGTGGCACCCTTTAGAGGTTTTACAGATGGAGACACTGAGATTCGAAAGCATCACATAACTTGCTGAGACTTTCATATCTAACAAACGGAGAAGGTGGGATCTGGGCCTGGACCGTTCAGGCTCCTGGTCCCATGCTCCTTGCCCTGCACTGATGTCTGCATGTTGTAGGTTACTTCCTAAAAGTAGGAAAGAGAGGAAAGTCTACCATTTCCCGTCAGTCACACGGGCCATGGCTGTAGTCTGACATTCCCCTTACGGCCGACGGTAAACTCCTGCAGATACGGTGGAGCCGCATCTCCTAACTTAACCTCCAAACACTCTGCTTTCAATTGTTAGGCTAAAATAAAACTCACAGCTCTCCGTCTTATTTCACTTCTGAAACACTTATTCCAACTCCTAAACTTTTTATGTAAGTACTTTCCCTCTTTTCCCAGAAATAAATGTCTGATTCTGCTGTAATCCATAAAGCCATGTCGAATGAGATAAACAATTGCTTCTGAGGCAAAGGCGCTCTGGAGGAAACCTCGATTTCCACAAGAAATCTGGAAATGAACTTGACAGATGTTGTCCGCGTTATTTCGCTGTATTTTAAATGATAAAGGTGCCCTGTGTCAGAGAGACTGCATTTCTAATCACGGAGACAGCCCTCTCTGAAATCAAGGCGACCCTTCTCCTGACCGAAGCGCTCTGCTTGGGATGAGGTGCTGGGTGTGCTGAGGGCCCTGCTGGGGGCTGATCCATGAACCGCATGGGTGGGGTCCTCGGAAGCAGGGAGCCCCCGGGGGACATGGAGCAGGGTCCAGCACGGCACTTCTCCCCTGCCCTGGACGACAAAGCAAACTGGAGGGAGCCGTGCACATTCAGCATCAGCTGGTCATTTCCTCCAGAGAAGAATGGTTTTCCTCAGTCAGACGCCTTCGGGAAGGAGACACGCGCACGGAAAAGCCGTCTGCTTTGCTGACTTTCTCGGTCTTTCCTACCAGTGCTGATCACCTGGGCAGCTCAGAAGCTCTGGCCAGGAGACGCACAGACCCCTGGTACTGGAACCCCTCGTACTGGACTCACATTAGCCCTTTTCTGTGTGCCTGAGAAGCCAGTGCAAAGCAGCAGACATCTTCCACTAGCCTCTCCGTGCTCGCGGGCAGCGCCCTGGGCGGCCCCCGTGTGCCACGCAGCTCAGACACCAGGCGGACAGGTTGCCCGGTACCGCGGGTAGTTCCCTCTAACGCAGTGGCCATCCGCTGAGATTCTGTCTCCCCTGTTCTGTCTGCACAAACCTGGACCCCTCAGGAATCTGCAGAGGCCGGAATTCGGGCAGAGCCTCGAGATTCTGGCACTTGAGCAACGTGGCCAAAGCCCAGGAATCAAAAACCAGATGTGATCTGGAAATTCTAGCCAATGAAACAATTTAGCAATGCTGAGAAACTTACCGAGATGATTTTCAAATGTGACTTCTGTCATAAATAACCTGTCTCCTAACAGCTATCTCAGGTCAATGCCATTGCGAACTGAAATTCTTAACAGAGGTCACCGAGACACCTACTTATCTGGGGACCTCCCAGAACACCGTGTTTAACCGTTGATTTTAAATGTGGGTGTGTATTACACACCAGACACACCTACACGGACAGCACTTTTTTAATTGGCCAAATTGAAATAGAATAGGAAAGGTACCCCCCCAAAACTCATTCATTTACTCCACAAATATCCATGAAAGCTGCATTCCTGCCCCTGTCCACACTAGAAATGAGGAAACAGATGAAAAAGGCCTGCTTCTGTCCTGAGTAGACGCAGGGAAGTGAGGGTCTCTACTTTTCACAGATACACCATCACCTAGAAGTACTGATGTGTTTTCTGTAACGTCTGTCTTGACCCTGCTCTACCCCAGTTCCCCAATGCCTGCACCCAGGGGGGCGCTGGGGTCACATCTCTTAACTTAATGAATGAATGACGCAGTCTCCCAACAGCGAGTTTTGACTTTGGCCAAGTCATAATGGACCTCAGATTTCTCATGAGTAAAATCAGTTCAGAGAATGAGGTGGAATCCCAAGGGGGTCTACAGGGAATAGGGGTTCCGCAAGACATACCAGCTTTTCCTGGGAAAAAAGGGGAACCTGTGGTTCACTGAGTTTGGAAGCCATCAGTACTGCAGAAAACAGACAGACAGATTTCTGGCTGCAGGCTCAGCATTTCACATGCTCATGTATACAGAGAATTTCCCTAGAAAAGTCCTGTGAACCCTGAATCCACAAGTCTGCAGGCACGCCTCTGGGTCCCTGGTGCTGAGCGGTTCAGCACACTTTTTAAGTTCTTGATAAATATTTGCTCCTAGGCCTTTGAATCTCCTAACAAAAGGACCCTTCCCCAAGGCCTTCTTTGCCCTTAACCATTCTCATGGACTTAAGAGAGCAGGATGTGTGGTCCCCCTTCCCTTCGGCCCTGTCTTTTTCTGGCTCTGTGACCTGGGATAAATTACTCACCTTCTCTGAACTCAGTTTCCGTGTATTAGTAGTTGTTAACGCAAAGGACTGTAGTGAGAAGTAAACGAGACAGCAATATAGATCACTTTGCATCCCATAGCAAACACTCAATAATTAAGCTAGCTGTCCTTGTCACCGTTCACACGTGTGACGCCGTTGTTTGGATTCCAGTCTCAAGGTGACCACTGGGCCAACCTTGGCAGGTCGCTGCCTCTCTAGCCCTGCCACAGACCCAGTGCAGGTTGCTCCTTTCTCAGTCCTATTACACCCGCTATTTCTCTGAGGAGTCTTCATCTTCATCTCACACTAAGCAAGAAAACACGTGAAATCATGGGTTTGATGTGCTCGTTATACTTTTTCTGAGACGCGTTGAAGTGAATAAATAATTACTGAAATCTGTTTTAAAAGCCAGCCTGGACACCTAACTCGTCTTCAGTCCCACACCCTGGGAAACGTTAACTTAGGGTCTCCAAGACCCTTTCAAGCAAACATTCTTTCTCTTCGCTCCTGATCAAAGATCACAAGCCGTCCTGGCCAGTTGGGCTCAGCGGTAATCGAGTGTTAGCCTGAGGACTGAAGGGTCTCGGTTTGGTTCCCAGTCAAGGGC